ATTAAATATAAAGTATATAAGTACCTAAGTATATAATATAAAGTATTAAACTATATAATATAAGTATTAAATATAAAGTATTAAAGTATATAAATATAAGTATTAAATATAAAGTATATTAATAATCATAATTACTATATTAAGTATATTTATTAATTTAGTTATCATAATTAATGTAACCACCAGACCTGGCTTGGACGTTATGCCCAAATCTAGGCAGTCACATATCACATTCAGAGATTCTTTTTATATTTAAAACAACGTTAAAATCCATATAACAATATAATATGAAATTTATCCAAAATATGGATTCATACGATAAACATATATATATATATATATCAGAAAATCGTATGAAACATTTACGGAACAAAATACTGGTAATATTGATATATCAAGACGGTAGCAAAACACATGTCACCAAATATAACAGAAAGGTATATAATATACAATGATACAAAATTAGGAGAAGTCGGTCCTCTTGTTGCCAAGTCTATTAGTCTAATCTGCTATTAATTGAAAAGGTTAAAATTTACGTAATGAGCTAAAAAACTCAGTGTGCTTCTTACGTTGTATAAAAACATACAGATAAAATATTTCTATAAAATCAGTTTATTAAACATGTTTTCAAAACATGAACACTACCCTCGTCCGATCACTATAATGTGTAGGTTCCCTAGAACCATACACCCACCTATACACCCAGTAAGGGCTTACCCTGTGCACAAAGCGGAGGAGCCTGCAGTAAGGTCTTATCATGTACACAAAGCAGAGGAGTCTGCAGTAAGGTCTTACCCTGAGCACAAATCCGAGGAACCTACGGTAAGGACTTACCCTGAGCTCAAACCGAGGAGCCTGCAGAAAGGACTTACCCTGAGCACAAAGCCGAGGTGCCTACGAAAAACGGTAAGGTCTTACAAGTCATAGACTAGGCCTGAGATACTTCCTTCAATAAAACTCCCCAATGACAGAAATAACATGTATGTAGTCGAATAAAAATGGTAGTTTAATCCATTAAAACATGAAAATATTTCATTTTCAGAAATCATATATGAAAATACGATAATCCAGAGATCATATTAGAAATATACATTAAATTAGATATCAGATAAACCATGTTCAAAAAATCAGGTATTCTGTTATAAAAATATTAAGTATTGTTAGAAATCTTAAACAGTTCAGACAAATAGTTGAAAACACTAATGTAACACCAACAAGAAACACACATGTATCGGTCTGAGTAGTCTGATAGGGAAGCCTACTACTGAGTCTGTCGATCATGATCAGCGGCAGCACTAGATCCTACGAATTAGAAAATCCATATCAAAATTCTAATATGAATAATATTAACCTTTATTTAAATGATTTACGGAAACCTACAGGTAACTCTCGTAGAACGCGGATCGAGCGAGTCTAACGGACAAAAAACACTAGACATAACTAACCCTCAGTTAGGTGAAACATGAGTACATTCATAAAAATATCTTCTTGTATCAATTCCATAACCAAATCTCAAATAAATAAGCAAAAATGCTAAAAATACTAAGCATTTTTGGATTAACGAGCTCTATTCGGTGCTTTCGGGTCAGAATTTGACAAAACGGACTTCGGAATCAGACTAAGGATGTTGAAAAACATAAAATATGACTTTTTGAAAATTGACTTTTTTGTCAAAGTCAATGGTTAACGGTCGGTCAACAGTGAACGACGGAGAGCTCGATTTTGAAACGTATAAAACTTTATATTACTCACCCCTTCACATTCTAGTGACAACGGAGATAAGAAGGACACCGGTAGACTCGGGACAACGCAAGGAACACGATGGTACGAGAGGTGTCGAAAACATAGCAACGGTCGAAGATGAATCGGTGATCAAATCTTTCATTCTAAAAGAGGAAAAATTTGAAAAGAGAGAAAAATTTTAGTTTCCAACTGAAAATTTTCCAGATTTAGGGTTATATAAACCCTAAAAAAGAAAATGACAAAATCATACCATAGGTCATCCATCTTTAGTTACTTTCTGAATTTGGATCCGAATTTAATCAAAATTTCACTTTGATTCATGAATTAAATCAAAATTCAATTTAGTACTTGAAAAATTTTAAGAGAATTTTAGACCCTGTTTTGGAGTGTAACAATTAATATTTTATTATAACTTTTAAAAATTTATCATATTAATTAGAATGATTTAGTATAAACTAAAAATCTCATAATTTTATTAAAATCTTATATTTCATCAATGATAATATATAAGTTAGGTAAATATCATATCAGATCATTAACAGGTCGGACCATTTACAAGTCAGGTTAAAAACAGGTCAGGTTCATAACATGTCTGGTTGAAAATAGGTCAGATAATACAAGTTATTTACCATGTCAATCTCAGGTTCGGGTTCATATAAGTCGGATGTAGGTCGGATTTGAGCATCATATTTTCGGTTCAATTTAGGTTCAGGTCATTCTCAGTTCAGATGCAGATCGGGTTCAGATTCATAATTTCCTAATCCAACTCGGGTTAAAATCAACACTAGTTTCGACTGGAGTCGGTTTCGGATCACCACAACGCATATAAAAAATAATTTTTACTCGAGTCGATTTCAATCAGTTTTATAGGTCAGGTAAGATTTTTACACCCCTAATCAAACCCAAGAAGATGGGGATTATCTCAGGAAAGGCGGGCTAATACACGGTTAATATACAACGTTACCGGATACATTAAAAGATATTTAACAAATTCGGTTTAGCGCTACTGAAAATGTTGAGTAATAATAATGTAGTAGGTCTAAATCATGAAGAAATATTAAAACATTTGGCAACCGACAAACTTAGCTTGTCAGTTTATGTCGATACTTTATAAAAATGTATCGATCCACATCAATATAACAGGTAAAAATATGACAAAATCGGTAAAGTGCTACCGGATATATTGAAAGTGTCGATACTTTAATATAAGTATCGACACTTTGTGAATTTAAAAGAGAAGCAGTTTTAGCACCTATAAAGTATCGATACTTTATAATAATGTATCGATCCACAACGATATAACAGGTAAAAATATGACAAAACTAGTCTCTAAAGGAAAAAACCGATATAGAGCGACCGGATATATTGAAAGTGTTGTACTTTAATATAAGTATCGACACTTTGTGAATTTAAAAGAGAAGCAGTTTTAGCGCCTATAAAGTGTCGATACTTTATAAAAATGTATCGATCCACAACGATATAACATGTAAAAATATGACAAAATCGGTCTCTAAAGGACAAAACCGGTAAAGCGCTACCGGATATATTGAAAGTGTCGATACTTTAATAAGTACACATAATAATTATCGATACTTTCAAAGAAATAGGTAATTATACTTTCGAAAGTATCGACACCTGACATAAAAGTATCAATACTTTGGTAGTTGTATCGATTAAATATAAATAACATATCCGGTGAAAATATAAAGGACATAGTTAAATATCCTCGAAAAAATATATAGAACGAACGAGTTTTTGAAATCGAAGCGCAATTGTTGCTGCATTTCAGAAGGCGTTTCTAAAGCGAAGTTTGTTTTTTTGTTGCTGCAGTCGAATCGAAAAGTACGTTGTCGAAACCCTAGTTTTTTATTATTACAGTAATCGAAAATAGGGTTTTTATGTGTTATTTGGGGTTTTAGAGTAAAGAAGCATTTGGGACCGATTACAGGTAGAAAGTGATATTATAGGTAAAATATAAATGTCAGTACTTTTATTAAATATTATAGGTAGAAAATGATATTATAGGTTGAATAAATGTGCCGATACTTGGAGTATTGAGTGTTCCCACTTGTTTGAAGGAAATAGGGATTAAGGTTTTTGGGTTTGGTTTGGGGATTTTGAATCGAAGCCAAAAAGGATTTGGGGCCGATTATATAATATTATAGGTAGAAAATAAGTATGGATACCTGTATATAATATTATAGGTAGAAAATGATATTTTATGTTGTATAAATATGTCGACACATTTTGTAGTGGCCATTCAAATTCTTTTGAAGAAAACCGTTTTACCACAAGAGTAATTATATATATTTGTATATTGAATAAAGTGTATGTAACAAGTATTTGATTTTGATTACCGTAAACTGATATTGAAGGAAAAATGGAGTCAATGGGTGGAAATATTGTTGGTGGCGCAGATGACTTTGAAATTGAGGCCGAGACTCGAAAGCAACCAAAGGGTGGATATATGTACTTCTAGTAAGTATCAATGTCTTTATGTTATTATTGTTGAGATGGTAATTGGATTAAAGTATTTAAGAACTTTAAATTGATTACAAATTTTAAATATTGACAGTATGACCGATTGCCAAAGGATAAAAGAAGGTGGCGAACACATCGGTTCGGTATATAAATTAAAATTGACATTGAGTATTATTTAGCATTAATGTATTGATTAAGAAACGTTTATGCTTAATATTAGGTGAGAAATAATGTGTTGGAGAAATAGAATTCGATGAGTGATACTGATAAGGAACCTTACATCGCACAGTCAAAGATGGATAGTGAAGAATACAAAGAATGGAGGAAAGCACATGAAAAGAAGGTATTCATTAAACTTGTATACGTTGATACAAAATATATAAGAACTATAACATTATATATTATAAAAAAATGTAGGAAGTGTCAACAAGGTGCATCATTAAAAGGGTGAATTCATTAATTAAACACCTTAAGGAGAAGGGTTAGTTGAATATGCTGTGAGAAATGGGGTTTGGATCATTGGTAGGAGTAAGGGATCAGCCTATTCGGAGGGAATTGTGTCGATCCTTGATGGCGCAATTTGATGTCAAATAATGTATTGCTAAATATGGTGATTTTTCATTTCCTCTGGGGATCCCATATGCTGCAGCCATCTTGGGGGTAGCAAATGAAGGCAAAAGTGTTGTAGAAGTCTCTAAGAGTAAGAACTGGAAAGCACTTGCCTCCAAATATAGTTTGAAGCAGAAGGTGACATATGCTAAACTTGAAGAGGAAATCAAAAGTGGATCTTACGGAGGGATGAGCTGAAGGCCCGCGTTCTATTGTACCTTGTCGGGATCTTTCTTTGTTCAACGGGTGATACGTCAACGAACAAGGACTATATGAAGCTCATTTGTGATGAAGGCTTGAAGGGTGAATTCAATTGAGCTGAATATGTCAATTCGAGATTGATTGAATCAATAATCACCTTTAAAAAGGGCAGCCATAGATACCTGAAAGGGTGCATAGCAATCTTAGAGGTAAATGAGTTGAAGAATTTTTTTGTTTTTTATATAAAATGATAGTATAGTTATTATATAAAATTATAAATTTTATTATAAATGCAGGTTGCACTGTTCGATTTTTGGTCGGGCTGTGAGGTAGTGCCGGCTTATGAAAGAACCGAAGTGGCATGTTTTCGTGCATGGGGCAAGGAAGAGGTGGTTAGAGTGATGGCGAAGTTGTAAACCAAGAAAGGGTAATAAATGTAATTAAATAATATTAAGAATATAATCAATGTCTTATTATTGTAATTTAATTTTGAAGGTTATTGGCAAGGAGGCAGAGGAGAAGAAAGAAGAGATAGTTGTATTGGGGGATGACGGTGAGGGAAAACAGAGTAAATTTGACATTTTGATGTATGAATTGGCTGATATAAAAAAATCCAATTTGATATCATGCAAAGACAATCAATAGTCGAAGAGAAACTTGAGAGAATTGAAGAGACACTTGAGAGGCATAAGGGGGAAGTGGAAGGAAAAATAGATTGAGTGGTAAAAGAAGTTGAGGTGTTGAGGGGTGAAGTGGTGAAAGAAGTTCAGGTGTTGAGGGGTGAACTTAAGATGGTGATGGGTGGAAAAATTGATGGAGTGGTGAAGGAGGTTGTGGAATTGAGGAGTGAACTTACGGGGGTGTAGGGGGTGGTTGATGAATACTTGGATGAAGGGAAAACTGAAGGGTGAAATAAAAGAGATGAAGATCTATGTAGAGTAAAAATACGATGAACTGAAAAAATATGAAGAAGAAAAGATGGAGGAAGAAGAAAAGATGGAGGAAGAAGAAAAGATGGAGGAAATGAGGAGGAATGATGTCGATGTGATCTATACACCAGAGAGTGTTATAGATGCAGATTTGGATTCAGAATGTCCTACACCACAGAAGAAGAAGCAGAAGGTAAGTTGAATAAAATAAAACTTAATGTGATCTTTATCATATTGTTGTGACGAATATTTGTATGCAAAATTATAGGTTGAAAAAGCGGATATTCCAAGCGGAATTGATGACCTCGAAGCTACAATTTGTGATTATTTATGGAATAGTGAGTTAGAATCGAGGTTAGTGAAATATATTGCTTTGTGAGTGATATTTAAATATTTCATGACAAAGATATTAATCCTAATGATTCATACAGATGTTCTGCAATCTCAATGGGAAATCAATTCGCTAGTGTATCCGACTTTGCAACGTTGAAGCCTACAGAATGGGTTGACGGTGTGGTAAGTAACAAGTACAAAATTTTAAAACCTATTGAATATATTCTGATTGTGTAATTAATTTTGTTAGGTTATTGATTTTCTTGCCTGGACAGTATGTTACTATTCAAAAAAGTCACTCCGAAGGATTGGCTACCCTCCATACCACTTAGCGGTGAGTTAAATTAATAAATGTTGAAAAGTAGTGTTATAGACGGTAAATTAATAATGATTGTCACGTAATTGCAGCAACAGGCGTTGGATGCCAACAACAAAGTAATAGTTGAGGATATTGCTAGCTTTTGGGGTCCCATATTGGGTAACTATGTGAAATTCACCGACTATGAGAAGGTAAGACACCATACGAATTGCAAATGATGTTTTCGGATATAGAATGTTGAATTTTGTCAAATTGGGTGTGAAATTTGTTGCAGATCATGTTCACAATAAACTATCATAATTCACATTGGTATCTGTTGGTGTTGGATATGGTAGATCGTGTTGCAACAATATATGATAGTTTGTTTACATCTGAAGCAGCTAAACAGAGAGTGAATGATGCTAAGAGATTGGTATGTATGAAAGGAAATTATGTAAATTATAATTATGATGCTAAGAGAGTGAATAATGTATGTGAATGTAATTATGTATGAGATGAGAAAAGTTAGCAGTAGGTTGTTGTACATGTTTCTTATACACAGTAAGAGTCATGTTGATACTTATGATATATGGAGATTGTTGTCTGCATTATTCCAAATGTCATCATAATTGTCATTATGTGCGGCACTGAATGGCCATTCCATATTGAAGGTATGTACAATAACTACAAAATTCAATAACTTTCAAGTAACAGGTAAATTTACAATGTAGGTGGTAAAAATATACTTTTTCAATGACAAACTTAATAAACACAAAGATTTGTTTCCAACATTTTGTCCAGTATGGTTCCCAAATGTAAAGTTCCCAAACGTAAAGTTTCCAAAAAATAGGTAAGCAGATGTATCGATACATTTATAAAAAGTATTGATCCCAAAAACATCGAAACACATAATTATAATGTAATAGGTAATTTTGTAATAAAATGTATCGATTTTGAAATTTGTGTTGATACTTTTTATCCAGAATAAATGCCCGAAATGGTGAACGCATAAAGTGTCGATACATTTATAAAAAGTGTCGATCTCAGAGACATCGAACCCATAATTATAGTGTAATAGGTAATTTTGTAATGTAAACGGTATAAATATACATGTTTTATGTGAGAATAGGTCTACATAATGTATCGACACTTTTTAATTTTGTGTCAATACATTTTGTCCAGAATGAATTCCCAAAAAAATGGTGCATGCATAAAGTGTCGATACATTTATAAAAAGTATCGATCCCAGAAACATCGAAACCCATGATTATAATGTAATAGGTAATTTTTCAATGTAACCGGTATAAATATACATGTTTTATGTGAGAATAGGTCTACATAATGTATCTACACATTTGAAATTGGTGTTGATACTTTTTGTCCAGAATGAATGCCCAAAATAGTGAACGCATAAAGTGTCGATACATTTTTAAAAAGTGTCGATCCCAGAGACATTGAACCTATAATTATAATGTTATAGGTAATTTTGTAATGTAACCGGTATAAATATATCAGTTTTATGTGAGAATAGGTCTACATAATGTATCGACACTTTTTAATTTTGTGTCGATACATTTTGTCCAGATGAATGCCCAAAAAAACGGTGCACGCATAAAGTGTCGATACATTTATAAAAAGTATTGATCCCAGAAACATCGAAACCCATGATTATAATGTAATAGGTGATTTTTCAATGTAACCGGTATAAATATACCGGTTTTATGCGAGAATAGGTCTAGAAAATGTATCGACACTTATGGAATTTGTGTCGATACTTTTTGTCCAGAAGGAATGCCAAAAGGGTGCACCCATTAAGTGTCGATACATTTTTAAAAAGTGTCGATCCCAAAAACATCGAAACCGATAATTATAATGTAATAGGTAAATTTCCAATGTAACCAGTATAAATATACCAGTTTTATGAGAAAATAAGTCAACATAAAGTATCGACAATTGTTAAATTTGCGTCGATACCATTTTAAAAATCGCGTGTTTTTCCCTCTTCATTATTTATAGATTATAATCGATACAAACTCCAAATCGACAAACCCTAAACCTAAAGGCAAAAAAGAACTCTTCCTCTCTGATGAATACCAGCGTTCTCATAACAGTGACGATCAGATATTCAAGTAAATTTATCGATATTTTATGGGTTTGATTGATTTCTAGATTAAAGTTTTTTTGCTGAATATGTTTGTGTTCCAATGTAACAGCATCCACACCCAAAATGGCTCTAAAATGTCAGCGTCAGAAGTGTGGTCTTTCTCAAAGCTCTTCTCAACCCAGGTCTTCTCATCCACAACCTCCTTCTCAATCAATCATTTCTTCTGAGGAAATCAGGTCGTTTGAAACTTTGAACTTTAGATCTGATACGGAGAAAGAAATATGACAGAGGAGTTTTAAAGTAAGGAAGATTCGTCCCGAACGTGTCATTGACCTGGGTTTCTTGTTCAATGATAAATATGCATTTAGTTTTAAATCCATATTTACATCTTGGGGTTGGCTTGAATTCATTGGTGTAGAACTAAAATATTACCCCATCCTAGTTAGAGTCTTCTATAACAATGCTTCTTTACAGCACGAGCCTAATAAGACTAATATAATAGGAATTAATATCAATGTCATGGGGAATGATATATATATATATATATATATATATATATATATATATATATATATCCAGATACTATTGCGGAGGGTCTAGGTGTCAAGAATAAAGGGGATTCAGATGAAAATGATTTAGATACTACAATACAACGGGTTGCTAGAAATAGCCCAATTCACCTAGATGTAGAGTCGAGAGTATTTCACAAAATGCTCACTTGGTATATTCGGCCTACTGGGGGAAAACATTCAACGCTTCGAGATAACGATTATTGGTGGATAACAAAGTATAAATCCAAAACGGCTCCAAACATTGCTAAACTGATATTTAATACAATTGTATATATGGTCACAAAGGGAGCAACAATTTCAACTTCACTACCATATGGATGTGTCATCACCCATCTGTTTAATAAGAAAGAAGTTGATTTTTCGCATGACGCCCCTGTTCGATTAACCCGCAAGATTGACATTTTATTTATTAAAAAAGTGGGATATGATTTTGTTGAAAAAGTCTGTTGGAAGCGTGTCAAGGATGTCAGATTAGATCAAGAGATGGAGAAAATGGACCCCATTGGCCATGAATACGACCAACCAATTGGAGACGTAATGATGGAAGAAGCTCCAGTTGGAGAGGATATCACAATTAAGACGGTGATGGAATACATGGTCAATTTTTGGGAGCATATTGATTCCCTTGTGAGTGGAATGTGAGCCGATATTTCATCATTGCGCGATGAAGTCTCCATGTTGCGTGACAAATTATGTCAACGACATCAAATGAGTTAGGTAATTAATTATTTATGTTTCTAA